GTCTGATTTTCGCTATTGCATAAATAGCGCTCTCTACTGCGAAGGTCGTGCATCATACGTATCTAATACCGCAGTTCAAAATATTTGAACTTCATATATTCATTGAATTTGATGAATAATTGTTAACTATCGTTCGGAATAATTTCTTATGAAAAAAAAAAGTCATCAAGCCGGAGATAGAATTAAGATAATAGTTTTCCAGGCTAGATGATACCAACAAGGTGAACATAAAGCAATAAAAGAACAAGGATTGCTCAATATTGCGACGATTCACATGGATAGTAGGTTGAGGTAAAACGTAGGACTTAGTCCTGGTCTTTGAGCTAACTCTTAGAAAAAAGAATTTCAGTGACTTGCTCCGCTGGGTATCAAGAGGGAACTTTTCTCTGGCCTTCATAAATGTATAAATAGCACTCCTCTAATTGTTTTTCTAATAGAAAAGGAATCCTTTCCTTCTTTAAAAGTCTCCATTGTCCAGCTTCTTCCAATTCTTTAAACTTTCCATCATAATTCTTCTCTTCCAGGAAACTTATGTTAAAGCACAATAAGCCACCTGCAAAACGTAACCAAAAGTTGTTTTGGCACTAACAGCTGGGTATTAAAGATATCATTTTCAGGTAACTCCACTGTTGCCATAAGGTGGCTGAGCACAGTTTTCGCGCGCGCTTCTGCTGATGCAATTCAGCGCGCGCACATGGATTGTAAAAAACAAAATGCAGTGAATAGATCGTTGTGAAATTCTACTTATCGAAGCCAAGAAAGTATTACTTAACGCCATATTAACCATGTAAGTGAAAAACTCTAACTAACTTCTACTTTCAACACACTACTGAAGTTTTCGCAGTAGTGTGTTGAAAGTAGAAGTTAGTTGGAGTTTTTCATTTACATGGTTAATATGGCAGTGAATAGAGCGGTAATTTTGTTTACTCAACACGTACCCACACCATCGGTGCTATTTTTCTCTATGGTTGACGCAGTGTATTGAGGGCTTTAATCTTTTATTACAAAGATATGTTAGAAAAGTTTACGGTGCAAAGAAACCAGCAGTTCTCAGCTTTTTCGTCGTTACCGAAAGAAACCGGTTAAATGCAGCGCATGCGTAGTAAGTAAAAACTGCGATTGAATAGAAAATTGCTTTCTCGGAAATGTGCCTATTTCTTGAGAACCAATCATTAGAATTTCACGAAATATGGCACAAAATTACTTTAGGAAATAAGTAACTGGAGTATCGAAAAAAATTGATTTTAAACAGGAAATTCTAGAAAATCGAGTGAACCTTCAACAAGGTGTAATCAAAGACCTCTCTGTTAAATTCTTAGAAATTGGTGTTAACTTGTGAGTATCGTTACAATCTCCTTGCATGCAAATTATAAAGAAAATCTAATGACTAGACTTTCTACAAAGTAACAAAACCGACTTTAGTTGCCTATTTATATCTATTCATGTCGTCATGGCAACGACACATACTTCACTTTAACTATCGAAAAAACAAAGTTTATGTTGTTAACTTGCTTGCTGCCAGTTTTGGCGAACGAGAGATCAAGGGTTTTAGAGAAAATGGTGAAAGAAACAAAGGTATCAAAAACTGTGTTCAGCCACCTTTAACTCATTCAAGTGGACCAAGGAGCGTGGCTAAGGGGAGTTAGGTTGTCCCTTTCCCCCAGCTTTCGTAAATGATTTTTCTTGATGTAACAACCAAACGAATGGCGCGGTTTAGATGGTGAAAACGCGCGCATCCGAAGAATCTACACGACACGGAAAAGATTCCCTTTAGTAAAACAAAGCGTGGATGTCGATTAAACATTTGGGTCGGTAGTCAGGTTGTGACAAAGTTTGATCGCCCATACCCCTGCTATCTTTGAAAAATATCCACGCCATGCCCTGGTGGGACCACCCCACTTTTTCGAGATGTACATGTAATGCATCTATCTATATATGAACGTTAATTCGCCTAACTTTAAAATCAAGTGGCTTTGGTAAGACGGCGTTGCCAAGAATGCTAGCCCAGACCTTCCACGCGGCCAAGGGGTGGTAAAACCCTATATTTCAGAGATATTTATGAGATTAGGATTCTTCATCTTTTCTTACCGGGTTTGACGAAATTCAGCATCTTGGCAAAAGCACCGGGTTGAACTTGTCCAGCGCATACTGCAGAGCTGCATGTCAATGCATCGTACTCGGCGGTTTCGATACCGTTCATGCGCTGATCAGTAATGGCGGTGCAGATAAGTTTTGTGTAGACTTTCTTGTTTTTAGCTCTGTTTAGCATTTCCTGTGACATGTCAAGGGCGTCAATATTTTGATATCCAAGTTTGTTTAATTCCAATCCCAACAGGCCTGTTCCAGCTGCCACGTCAAGAATTTTAAAACTTTTCTTGTCGACATCTGGAAACAGATTACACACTGTAGCGTCGAAATGCCTAACAAACGGCCGAGGTACATTGTATTCGGGTTCTTGCATTATCTGGATGTAAATAAAAATAATAATAATACACTGTGACGCTGACGACAGCACCAGTTGAAAAGAAAGAGAAATTCTTTTCAGCGATTAACAAGCCTTTTTCCGGCCAGTTCCCTGTCTGATGATAATCGTCCGATGTTACCTGATCATATTGTTCGGCCCAATCGTCGTACAGCCGGATGACTTCATTGAGTGAAGATTCATTTGTAAATAGCCAGAGTTGATCATGATAGTACTTGAAAATCTGTGGATATGATGATAACAGTTTGAATGAGGTAGGCTGCGAGGGTTATCTCCTTCTGCCGCATGGGACGTTACTGTATTTTTTTCTACAATAGATGATCTCGTTGTAAAGTAACTACAAAAGCTGTAAAAAAGTGAAGTTAGAACTCTGGCTACCAAGAATGACCTTGGGGGCTTCCAAAGCCCTCTGACTCTTTGTATCTGAAAGTACCGTTTTCCTTAAAGTAAACCTGACATGTTGGTCGTTATGGAGAGCCTTCTTAGTCCTTACTAACAGATAAGATTCACACAATGCTATGCTACATAGGTGAGGGCAGCTGGCGGGATTTCAAGCGCAGAATTCAAACACCAGGCCGACTAATTTGATTACAAGCGGAGCAGCTGTGGCAGCAGTAATAGAAGCAGCGGGTGTAAGAGCGACTAAGAGGAGGCTAAGGCCAGTAGAGCACATAGTGTCTGCGTTCTGGCACTAGGCGGGTTCCGTCCTAATGGACTAACATTTTCCCATAATTTCCACTGAAAGGTTCTTTCAAACCTCTTAAGGGTAGGGTAGAGATTTTTAAGAGTCAATAACCTAGCGATTTCATGGTCTATCAAAGCTCGGAAAATTCGTCCACTAAAAGGCCATCGTAATTTCTGGAATCGCTTAGCATTTGTAAACAAACGCAGAACACGCTGATTAGGTTTACTCAAAGTATTCTGTAGGAATTCAGCGACTGCTGTGCATTAAGGTACCAGTCATCAGTCAACGCTTAAGGAGAGGGGAGGGGTGGGAGGATTTTGGCTGTGTCACAGTAAAATTAACCGGATTTCCCCCTCCTCTCCCCCTTCCCCTCCCCTTCCCACACAGGCTCTACGGTATTCTAATGATCTCTCTCATTGGCAGTCAATTTTCCATAGTCCCCCCTTAAACTCTGCTAGAGAATCGAGAGGACTGATCCCCATTCCGTTCCCTCTATTAACCGTGTGACCCCCGAAAGAAATCCACAATCCTATCCCCCCGGCGACGAATAATAACTAGTCTATCGTGTATTTGAGACTGTGCCCCATTGCCAAAAAAAACAAAACAAATAGTCTGGTCCCGCATGTCAAAGTAGACCATTTACGGAGCTATTGAATTTGATACTGGATTATTTCATTGGCGTAATACTATTTCATATCAACGTCAAACATAAAAAAAAATACTATTTCATATCATGATATGTCAGGAGCTCCTGGATTTTTGTATTCTTAACACCAAACCACCTCTGTACACCGTCGGCGCCATAAGAGTCGTTTGCTATTTTTTCTCATTTTACATAAATATATTGCGCAACGTTAATCGTTCGCTGTCACGCAAGCATAAAACATTTGACGATCTTGCTGACCTTTTATCAAAGATGGTACACGCAATACGACATCATAGTAGAGACGAAAGAGCCTTCTCTTTTATACAGTAACTACCATACCTGCGGTTATACCTTCTCATACTAAGTATGACGGCTGACCGTT